CGGAACCCGGATGGACGGAGCTACTAGTATCCGAGCTTAGGACCCCGGCCGGCCACTTCCGGGACCATATTCCCAATTGATTTGGCATGGCTGGCGGGGGCAGGTGTGCGACGCGAGCACTCTCTGGCGAAAGAAGAGCTTAGTTAACTTGTACGAACGTTCGGTCGAACGCTGCCGATGGTCCTGTCTCTTGGTTAGCCACACTAAGTAGATGTAAGGAAGCAATTCCGGGTTCGGTGAGCGGGAGGAAGCCCTGCGAAATCCTGTTGGTGTGGGGTGAGGGGCGGTACCCGCAAGGATTTCCCGAAAATCCACCCCTCCACGCCCGATCGCATCCAACGCCATGGTACGTCTGGGGGGCCTAACCGGCCCCCCAGGCCCCCCGGTGCGGTCGTAACTATGACTCTCTTAATGGGTCTTTCCTGGTTAATTCGGGAATGCCTCAAGGAAGTGTGCTCGGTCCCCTGATTTTTCTATTATTCATCAATGATCTACCTGACTTCATAAGTATCTAGCATCGTATCTAGCATAAACGAAGATGAAGTGATATTTAAAACAAAAAAGGTCCTCCACGAACTCGATGAATGGTGTCACAAAAATCGCCTAATGATGAATCACTCAAAGACAACACTACTAAGATTCATTGACCCAGATCCCATAATTTTTTAGGAACAGTTCTAGATGAAACTCTCAGCTGGGACGAATACATTAACAGCATCTGCTCTGAACTAAATAAACAATACTTTGCCATAAATAACTTGAAAAGCTGCCTGAACGAAGAAGGGCTAACCGCAGCCAACTATGCCCTCGTCTACTCGACCATTAGTTACAACATCTTAGTCTATGGGCTAGCAACTTCCAGTAACAGAGCTTTTCTGGCACAAAAAAGAATAATCCGTGCTATGTTCAGACTAGACTATCGTGAGTCCTGCCGAGAAGTATTCAAAAAAAATCTGTTCAAAATCTGTTTTTTTCCGTTAATTCAGAACAAAGCAATTATTAACTTTCACAGGTATTTATTTATATAAACTATTAACATGTTTACAAGAATAAAAATAACTTTGAGCATAATAGTGATATCCAAATACGACAAAAAAAAATCAATTCAGATTGCAAAAGGTGAAATACTCTAGTTAAAAAAAATCACCAGACTACGCTGGTATGCAGTATTTCAACTTATTACCAAACGATTTGAAATCTATAACAAGACTGGTCTTGAGTCGTTTTTGATCACGAATACATTTTATAACATTCAGGATGAACTGAGATGAGCTGATGAACTCTTTTTATTCTGTCAAAATTCATGTACTTTAAACATTTACTATTTATTATAATGCTAACCTGCACTTCTATGTTGTCATATATGACATATTATTACTGTTGCAATTTCATTTTTCAATTGTATTTTGAAGTTTTATGACCTGTCAACCCGATGTAAATTGGTGATTTTATGATCAATAAAAATCTCTGTCTGTCTGTCTGTGAAGTTGTAAAGATATAAAACTTAACAGGTATAAATGTAAAATAGTAATATCAAGAGACGAATAAATGAAAATTTCGAAATATATAGATAGAGAATGTTATAAATATTCAATGTTGAACTGTAAAATATGTGTATGAAGGTAAACATGTGGAATTGAAGAAATATGAATGTGAAATTATATCTGGACCTAATATATATTATGTACTATATATAAAACAACGATAAAAATAAAATAAAAACAACAATAAAAATTAATTGGCGCTCCGGGGCGACTTCATTGATTCCAGTGGCGCATTTGCTTTTTCAGATGCAGGAAAACCCGGAAAAACCTGCAGCAACACATCATCTGAAGATCTTGATCTAACAATGCCCTCTCTCTTATGAAACAAAATGTAGGGTGTCTCCAGAGGCTCCAATAAATTCAATGCATCGCCAGAACACTTCGTGACACGACTATCGACAAACTTAACCAGTCCGTTTCTTCTTTGACCAGGGCGTAATAATGACCAAATTCAACGCCAGAACCACAATGAACAATGACTGCATGAATATTATAATAGTGGTCTTCTAGGTTGAAATGTTCATCTATTTCGAACCTTCCAAAAAGTTTCTTGATTCCGTTAGAGGTTGAGTCTTGTTTGAAAATCATCAGTGTTATTAATGACTAAATATCTGTAAAAAATGCACTCAATATTGTTTGGAACCACGTACACCTTCTTTGTGACTAATTGAACGATTTTGAAAATAGAATAGTTTCTATAATCATATCTAATGGAATTCGAGCTCTCGATACTTAACTTACTGTTCGAAGTAACTACTCAGTATATCCTTCTTTCAATAATTTGGTTTATTCCTTCTACAGGTACTGTTTGAAGCCACTTTTTGATTTTTTTTGTATATTTGTTGGTTGCGGGCATAACTCACTAGATATTTCACCGTAGACAATTGGACTCAGATAAAACAGAAATTTTGGTATTTGGTTGTTTCCACTTTGGGTATTTTTGTTGTTTTTTGTTTGAATCTTGTGTCATGATTGTGTTCGATGGAAGCCATAAATTGTTTATTTTTGTGATGGTGGATAGCTAGTTTCATGAAATATAAGTGTATACAAGAAAAGTTTTGTGATTCTTTGAATAGTTTCTGTGACGCATATGTGTACGTTTTGTTATAAGTATATAATTTTCATCAGCTATTTCTGAGTCATTTCAATAATATTCAGATAGTTACTCGTTATTCTTCCCCACACAGTAATTACATAGTTTATAAGCGTTTGGGCCAAACTGAGGTATAACATTTTCAACTGCGTCAAAGAGAATATTTTTTTGTAAAACTTGAATTTATTTAATGAGAATCTTAATTTCTTTGCGAAGTATTCAGCATGTTTGTTCCAACGCAGAATTTTGTCTATGATTAATCCCAGGTATTTGATATATGGTTTCATAATTATTTCAATAATGGTCCCAACGTCATTGAAGGTAAGTGTATCATAGTTGGGTAGATTATTGTTGTAGTTTGCGAGTGGAACGAAAAATGTTTTGGTGAAATTAATTGTTAGTAGTCTGCTCTCAAACCACTGAATTATAAAAATGGAGCGTTTGAAGGACAAAATCATGGAAAAACGACCCCACTTGGAGAAAAAGAAAGTGCAATAGCGAAATTGCGTAAATTCGGCTTTAAACTGCATCTGCATCCGCCATATTCTCCAGATCTGCCCCCCAGCGACTTTTTTATTCTCATATCTCAAGAGAATTTTGAGGCATAGAAAAATTGTATGACCGCTATATTCGTTGTATCACCCTCGAAGGCAACTGTGTTGAATAATGGAATCACATTTTATCAAATTTCATTTTTTCATCCAATACTCATATCATTGAAGTGCAATAAAAATAACTTGCTCATCATCATGGTGTATAAAGAAAACTGGTCCGCCATTTTGGACAGTCTGCCAAATTAGATTTATAGTACCTAACGACATTATATTCTTGGAATTCTTCTCAGAATGCCAAAGTGACGGCAAAATTGAATCTCGAAATATTCATATCTTCCAACTCACTTACACAATAGGTTTTGGTAGGTGTGCCTGCCGAAAAACAACTAGTTCCTCGGCTAATATTATTTTCTTATATGTATGCATCTCTCCTCGATATAGTCTTCAGAGTTGTTTTGAATTCTGTTAATAGTATTGATACATGGGCTTTTTTCCCGCTTGGGTTCTCTTTTACGAGATGGATCTGTTAACAATATTTCTCTTAGACGAAGGTTTCATACATGCAGTCCAGCCGAGTTAAAATTATTCGAGTCCCAGGCACTTTGCTGTTCGGGTTGAATCTTTCCTGCATTGATAAGAAGAAATACCTCGAAACCGATCTGTATGTGTTACTTGATTGATTTCAGCATGGTCTTGCTGTTGGTTGAACGAGAAACATCTGCAAGACTCTGTGAGGTATATTGCATAAATGTCTGTCGGATATAAGTTAATGTTCCGTATTTTTTGAGGAATAGTTATTTTCTGGCAGGCATCTATGAGAACCAACTGCGTAGGTGCGTTGGGAGAGATGAAATTTTTGAGATTTTATTTCAAAATATGTATTCCCTTATACGTATGTATCTCTCTTTGATACAGTCTTCATATCTAAAATTTTCAAAGGTATCTGCATATGATTAGCAGTTTTCAAGTGGATATTTTCGTGCATAGATTCTACTGAACGGGAAAATATTTGAGTAACCGTAGCTTTTTCACGTCTGATTCAGTCATTACCTGAAACTTTCATGTACTCATAAAGAACAGAGACCCACCATCAGCAGCAGGGGTGTATCGCAAATCGTGCACTTATGAAAAGGTATACAAACGAACCACCGAAATATCCATGGGAACAAGGCTGTAGAAGCATGAAAGAAACTGTAGACTATGCCAAACGGAAGCTGTAACGGAACACTACGCAGTGAAGGAAACCATTGGATTCTATTTGAAAACACGAAACTCATTGCCTCCAACTAGGTATACCATAGCCGACTGGTACGGGAGGCAATGGAGATCCACAAACACAAGGTAATTCCAACAGAAAAGAAGATGTGAACCTCAATGGAATATGGAATTCCATTCTAAGAAGTTCAAAAATTGAAAACATCATGACGGCAGGAAGAAAAGGGTAGACTAATCTTACTAATGATTAACCTAATCCAGGTACAGGTGTTAGCACACCAAACTACCTGAGTCAACATTATTATGCCTTACACAGCCCTAATGTATAGTCATCGGAGATCACTCAGGATGTATAAACTTCGCCAGCGAAACGTCAGGACGAAATTCCAAAAATCGTGACACATTCAGGTTAGTGCATTTTCAAAATGGTTCTGCTACAGTTCGCTTTGGTGGCATCGGTTGTTACACATCCTCTCATATCATGATTGTGGAGACTTAAGTGAATCGAAATCGAACAATTGAAATTGAATACGGCTGTAGATATACGAGATAAAACATAGGTAGAATATTAAACATATATACTTGACTACTTACCCAATAATTTGTTGCCTCCGAACAAATTTTCGAAGTTGTAATGGGATTTTTCAATATGACAAGTGAGATTTGATTTTAAGGTGTCCAGATTGAAGTACTCTTTTCCATCCTTCTTCTTTATGAGGTCATAGTCAAAGAAATATTCCACAGTTATATGTGCTGAAAACCAAAGAGAAATAATAGGGACGTTATTTTTATCGTATAGTCATTACAGTTTTCATGACGGTTTTGATTCGAAAGAGATTTCTTAAAAAACTCGGAGAGTTCTCAACTATGTCTTCATCAGACAAAGTTTGTTAATCAAGCACAATCAAAATGCATATGACTTATTATTATGTCAAACCTACTTGAAACGATTTCTGCTGGTCCTTCTCCTTCGACAGCAAAGGAAACCACTTTCCCACTCATTTCGTATTTACACGTTAACTTGGTTTCATCTATGAAGACTTTGAAATAGAAGTGTTTATTTTTCATATCCAGCCTGAAAATAATTACCTCATGAATATATAAAAAGCCAAATACAATAAAACTTTCGTAGGTGATTTTATGAATAATTGTAAATGGATAACGATTTCTAAAATTATATTGAAATTAAAGTTTTTTGAAGAATTGTAAATTGATAACAATCTTAACAATTATATTGACATGGGTGGTGAAGCTTTCGCAAGATATTCTCTACTATTCAAAGAGTGATGCCATTTTTCAGTTTACTGTTTGAAACTTTGGCAGAATTAGCTGTAGTAGTAAAAACTGTCAATGCTTGATCTGCCCGTAATACTGATTACATTTTAGAACCGACTTCTTTCTTTTGGAGGCTTATCCATAGCCTTTTATCGTTTCATGCATATATTTCTGGTTATTTCAGAAATGACGTTGCATTTCAAAAAAAGTATATATTTACTCATATAATATTATTTAGAAGTTCTCAAAGCAGCTTGGTTATCTAATAGTATGAAAATTCTTAGCTTGTGGGTATTTTTTGACGCACTTCTGAAAAAACTTTCTTGGAGTAGGCATTTCTGTTCAAATTGAACATATCCAATTTGGGTGAGGGATAAACGACGTTCCTCATAATTTTCATTTCGTAACACGTCTACAAAACGAAACGTAAAAACAAATCTCTTAACATTCTTCCTGGAATTGCTTTTTAAATCAAACTAAACTCATCTACCAAATGAAACAAAAATTCTTGATCTTTGACAACTCCTCCGTTAACGTCCAAAACAAATGATTATTTTATTAAATCAAACAATACATTACAACATCGTCAGTCGTTTCTAGCGTAGCACCTATTCCACATTTCTTCAATTAACGAAAGATTAATTTATTTATACAAAACGAATAAGGCTTTCGCGGCCGAAGTTTTCAGTCACTATTTTTATTTGAATAATAAGTAAAACAAATTTTTTATGATAAACAGTTTTTTTGAAAAAAAATGAAAAAAAATGATATAAATAATTTACTAAAAACTGAAAAATAATTTGAAAAGTCTTAGGTAGTAGTTATCACACCACTTTCCTTAGTAATCTACGGTATTGATTGGATAAAAATAATAATAAAATCGTTGGGGGTAGCGTAACTTGAGTGAATATCGTTGCTCCGGAACGTAATTGCAAAATTTTGCGAAATGGACTTTTCCATAATCGATGTTAAAGTCTCCTTTGAGAGCTAAAGTTGCCTTTATGCCTGAAGTCGGTTCCATAATGGATTTTTAAAGGCTCCTTTACGTAAAAGTGTCCTTTATGCTAAAGCGTCGATTTCGCGACTTTTGCTCGCAAAAGGAGCCTTTTTTGTCAACATAACCTTCAATAAATTTCAGTTTCTTCTGAGCATTAAAATGAATTATCGTCGATTTGAGTTGATTTCTTCAGATGAAGATGAGTATGAAAATTATGTGGATTTGAGGAAAGTGAAGGTCTACAGGAAAAGAGGAGCATACCTGACTACATATAGTGGGAAAGAATTTTATGATTGGTTGTGCCTAAGAAAAAGTACAGTTGTACAACTGTACAAAAGTACAGTTTCATTATTGAAGCAAATAGAAAACGTTCTTGCACCTCGTACCAATAGGTATGTCACCATTTACATCCACGATATATAATATATTGTTCAAGGATCATTTGATATAAGATATCATCTATACCATTTTCATATTTGAAATCTTCATGGGAGGAGCTATTAAACCGATGCAACAGCTGCTGTTAACGCTCCGATTTTTTGCAACGGGAAACTTCCTAAAAACTGCGGGAGATTTCATGGGAATTTCAAAAACTTCCGCATGTAGAATAGTAAAAAAGGTGTCATGTGTCATGGCAGGTGTAAAGTAAAGGTACATAAACATGAGATCTACCAGGGAAGAGATGGAAAATGATGCCCAAAAATTTTATAGAATATCAAGATTCCCCAGAGTTATAGATGCCATCGATTGCACACTGGTTAGAATAGATTCTGTCGGAGGTGCCGACGCTGAAATATTCAGGTCTCGGAAAAACTTCTTCGTACTCAATGTTCAAACTGTTAGCGATGCAAACCTGAGAATGAAGAACATTGCCGCTCGTTGGCCAGGCTCGGCTCATGACCAAACCATTTTTAACAATAGTATTTTAAAGAATGAGTTTGAGCGTGACGAGTATGAGCCATATATTTTGATAGGAGACAGCGGTTATCATCTTGAACCATACTTGATGACCAAGTTGCGCAGGGTCATGAATGAGGCAGAAAATTTATACAATGAATCCATAATCAGAACAAGAAATGCTGTGGAGAGACAATATGGTGTGTGGAAAGAACAATTCCCAGTTCTGAGCTTCGGAATGCGCCTCAAACTTAACACCATTATGGCCGTCATTATAGCAACAGCGGTTTTACATTTTTTTTCAATATGGCTATTGAATGGAGCGATGAACCTCTACCTGAGTGGCTTGTCCAAGAAGACATTGAAGTTGAAGAATAACAAGAAGAAGAAGGAGGAGGAAACCAAGATGATGAAAATGTATTGAACGAGGCAGAAACATGCGAAGGATTATAATGAACAATCATTTTGCAAATTTGTAAAGATATAGTCTATATTGAAATTGTACATAGAAAAAATAAAGTTTCATAAAGAATCATTTTTGAAACATTTACTGAATTTGTTTTCGTAACAGCTCGAGTTTTAACAATTCAATTTCAATATTCTCTTTCTCCTTCTCCAACTCGTGTATCTTCTGCTCCCTGACATCTTTATTTTTTTTTCAATTCCAGTTCGTCCTTCATGGTTTCTGCCATGACTTTGTAATAATTTTCTTTCGCATCTCCTAATGAACTCTGCATAACAGGTCGCAGCTTTTTGGACGGAGATTTTGTTTCAGTTTATAAAGATTATAATCCGCCCAGTTGGTAACTTTCTCTGAAGCAACCTTCAAATAAATAAATACTTAACTTGTTACTCCTTCAGATGGCAGTTCCTCTGCAAGTACCACCTGCAATTTAAAAATCATTGATTGAACATTCTTTATAAAATAGTCAAACTATAAACATTTGAAACCAATAGAATACATACTTCCGTTTCTTCAATAAGCATTGGCGGTTCAATAAGAGAGACATCTGAATATTTTCTCAGATCTTCATCCATCTTCTCCAAAATTGTTTCATTTGCCTAAAATAAAAAAATATTCCATAAATATATTCAAAGATGTTTCAATAATTATTCACATTGTCATCGTCGTTTGGGTTTGTGGGACCTACAATCGTTTTTGCATTCACAATTTTTAGAATCATGTCCATTACTGGGTCGTTCATCTTCGGTATGAAGAATCCACCACCAGTGCCCTTCTCATATTTTTTCCCTTTCGTTTTTGTTTTGAGGTTGTTATACTTTGACTTTAGTTGGTCGACACCTCTGAATTCCAAAGTGTCGGTGTTGAATGAAGCACAAATCCGTACCCATGCCATTTCCTGCAATTATATATAATGTTACATAAAATACTCAGATATGAGCAGTCACATTCTTTACAAACTGGAATGAACTCACCTTCGCAGTATTTGAAACCTTGATTGTTTCTTTGTTCTCTATGAACTTCCTCTCTTCATAGATTTTCTCCACTAACCGCAGCTCCTCTTCCTTACTGAAGGGCGATGCCTTTGTTTTCTTGCAACTGCTTGAAGCCATCAACACGAAAAGAAACAAAGTACTTAAAAATCCAGAGGCATCGAAGCGCGAAAACGAACCGAAACAAACACATTTAACCCCACTTTATGTACGCTCAGTGATGCCAACTATCATTCAATGCAAGAAAACCGCACTTTCAGTAAAGGCGACTTTACATTCGATTATGGAACACCTGGGACATTTAAAGCCGACTTTTGAGAAAAGGCGCCTTTTGGTAAAGTTTCCTTTGACCGATATTATGGAACCGGGCCTTAAGTGCATAGAGAAGTTCAGATACTTCACCCGTACTCGAAGGAACGTCGTCGTAAATGTAGTACCAGTCTTTGCCACTTGTAGGTATTTGCGCCACTGTTGGATTATCAGCTGATCGTCAAATCACTTCACAGGAATAACGTTTTAAGGGTCAGTTATGAAATAGACACAGATGGTGGCCTTAGGATTTTAGCGGAATAGTGACCTATATGTAGTTTATGACAAAAAGTTGACGGCTCCATCGCACATTTTCAAGGCAACATTGACATAAGTGTTCATTGTGTCGTTGGTCTTTTGAATTACACACATGTTATCTCATGTTAAGTATTCTTCTGAGTGAGACATGCATGTTTTCCGACGTAAATTCCATTGATGTAACAGTAAATAATTTTTGGGTAGTGTGACATACAGAAGTGTCCTGTGTGGGTCAATGATACTTATGATCAAAACAATAATATTTATTATCATTGGTAATAATGTTATTTTGTTACTTACAATCGTCAATAATTACAGGGCCTAATAATGAGTGAACGTACTAAGAAAATCATGAACCTCATAAATCTAAAGCTGAAAGGCGAGACCTGCATTGCCGCACAACGAACCAGAATAACTAAAAAGCCTAGACTGTCTGTGGAAAAAAACAATTTAACTCGGGAAAATGCAGATGTAATTAACAAAAATTTACCTGTGCGTGAAGAAATGATTGAAAATCATGGACCGACTAAAATATACAATGATTTACCTCCTAAAGATATTGATGTTGTGTGTGAACAAGAGCAAAACAAAAACTCAATTCAAGGATATGTAGAAGTATTGAATAGTAATGTTTCTGTACCTGAAGAAATTATTCAAAATCATAGACTGGCAGGGAAAAACAATAATTCATTTAATTTGTTTTTATTTTTCTTGTTCATATGTCTTCATGTTGTCTGATATGCATAATAGTGAAAGACTGAATTCTGAGTGACTGTTTGATCAACATTCTATATTTATCAGGCATTATTTATGTTTTGTTCAATATTTTTTATATTTATGTTTTTTATTTTATATGTTTTATATTCGAAAACTGGTGGAGGTCA